TTTTACTCGCATAGCAGACCTCTAATTCATTTTTTAATTGCGCGAAGTCTCAAATTTTTTGCGTTTGGAAATCTAGCATTGCTCTGCCTTTTAATTTCGTACATAATACAGCTCCTAATAGCGTTACTTCATCTAACGGGTCGATATGTTCTACCGCATAGATAGTCGCGCTCAAAAATTCTTGCAATTTATTTGGTGATCCGTCGAATTCCGGAATCATTCCGCGAGCCTCTTTTAATGGTAAAAATCCGTGTCCTCTTCGATGTCGTACATCTTCGGGTGTGGACTCGTACGCGGTTTCGGTTCTTTCTCCCGGCGGAGTTCTATGCTCATTGTTTTGTCGGGGTTGCGGTCCTCTAATTCTTAAATCGTATATCTCGGCATGCATACTTTTAATTTCCCGTCTCATTTCCTCTCTCATTTCCCGCAATATTTCCCTAAGGTCGTCGGCTGCTCTGTCCGTTTCTTTCTGCGGTTTGTGTTGAGCTTGCGCGTTTGATTGTGTCGCGTTTCTATTTGCTTCTTCTTGTAATCGCTTAATTCCCTCATCGATATCTTCCGATGTGATGGGTTGCGATGCGGAAGCGTTTGAGTTATACATGTTCGTGCGATAGATTTCGTCGGGGTCAAAGGTACTCGAGTCGTATGACGTTAGTGAGAATTCGCGGCGGTGTGTTAGTCTACTAGACGCGCTTATTGATGATTCGACTTCAACATTTAATTCTATATTATTCGCTATTAAACTGTTGTCTAATTCGCCGAATGAAAATTCGCGTTCAATTACAACGTTTGCTCCGAGTTCTGGTTCGGACAAATTCTTGCTTGAATTTAACGCGTTTAGATTTCTTCGTACCATTATCGCGTATATCCCGGAGTGCTCCTACTGCTACTTTTATAGGGCTTACTGCGCTATTTCTAATGGCTCTATTCGCTGGTTCGCTAAATAGCCACGATTTATCCGCTACGCTTTTTTGTTGCGCGTTTCGGTTTTCCGACATTCACGCGTTTACAAATTTTTAATTGTTTGTCTTATACAATAATACGATGAGCAGCATTGTCTCTCGTTCGGTGTCGGCCATCGGGTATCGATCGTCGCGTGCCGTTGAGATAGGTCGGTGCGCCTTCTCAGGTTCGGCTTATCGTTGTTGCCTTGATGTACCGGGTGACTCGAAGTTCCTGATGGACTTCCTTTTCCTCGGTTGTAGTTGTCTTGTTAATGCACGTGAGCGGGTTCAACTATAAAGTATTATTACAATTGGCTCACTTCTTCGCCCTCCGAAAATGTGTAATTGTAATCCGACTGCGCGCGTTGCCTGACACTATCGGCAAAACCCTGAAATCGCGAAGTAGTCGGCTGAAGAAGAGACACCCTCAATAAAGCCTCATAAGCCTTCCTGGCAGCGGCATCGTCCTCGTCTCCGACCTCCCAGTCATGATCGCCCCAGTAAGAGCCCTTAAAATTGTTTTGTCGCTTTAATGTCAATGAAAAAGGTATTATTCCATGATTTATCGTCACGTTTACATTGAATTGATAATTTTTTCTTGTCTCATTTTTTTCTATAACACCTTACGTGAAATATCTCGACATCGAGGAAAGCCCACTCCCCTCGTGTCATTTCCAACTCGTGGGCGGCCAGCATAAATTTTCTGACCAGCGTTCCGCGGACGCTGAGTATCACAACTGTTTAGAAAATTGTCATTAATATTAAACATCTCTTGTGATAACTTTTATTTCATAGAGAAACATAGAATGTCTTAAAACTCACTTTGATTTTATAACGACGGGATTTATATTCATTTATATATATATTTATTTATATTTATAATTATATTTATAATTATATTTATTAGTTCATAGATATTTGATGCACCCTGCAATAATAGTATGATAAAAAAACATTAAAATGTAGTTGAGGGAATCGAATGCAGATGTCGACATCATTGTTATCGATTATACATCGTCGCGATGGTTGCTAGATGGTTATTCTGAGTTCCTTTGTATCGCACAAGTTCTAAATAAGAGATTATTATACTGTATCAAGGCATATTGTTCGAGAGCGACCCGAAATTTTGAGCGCGACGAAACGCAAGGATTTGCAGAACGACTTAGCGTCACAAAAAAGCATCACGATTTTCTAATTTTGTGTCTTTAATGATTAAATAAACAATAATGTCAATTCACGTAAATAACGAAACAGTTTTACACAGTAATAAACACGATGCACGAATAATTATAAAAGTCTCCGAAAAGTCAGAAAAAGAGATTGTCCAGAAACGAGCAGTTGTCTTAAATGCGGTGTATCACAAAGAAAAGCGGTTATCAAAAGAATTGCGGTTATCAAAAGCGGTAAATCGTATGCGGTTACTCTACGTGTTTTCAGCGAGTGTCGGGCGCTCCTCATGAGCGGGCCCTTTTATAGCGGTTCTTTATTCTCTCGCTGCCAATAAGTTTGAACCTCCGAGTTCGGTTCGAAAAATCAACGCGGCGCCAAACTTCATTGGCCGCCACTTGAAATATCGGCGCGAGATGAGACTTAGCGCGAATAATAGGCCGGTGGCCCGTACGTCACGGCCTTGCGCGTGCCGGCTGCCGTTTATCGCGCGGCCAACCGACAAAGTTGTTTTCGCGTTTTATTATTGTACTTGTTTGTGACATGGGCTTCGTTGACACCAAAAAACCTCGAATAATAATAACGATAACAATTTGGCTGTTTCTTTGAGTTGTTTTTCGATTTTAATCGCGATGAAATAACAATGCGAAGCCCATGTTGCAAAGATGTAATTAAATTACATGTATTTTAATACGATCTCAAACACATATTTAGTATTTACCTTTTTTCCTTTGGTATATTTCAATGCAAAACAGACAGAAAGTTATACTCTGCTAACATTAGTTAATAATTAATAAAATTTTTAATATAA